TCAGATTAATGTTACCCCCATCTGACTGCCAGTTTAAAACTTTCCAGAGGTGCCCCTGTGGAGGTTAAGCAATCAAATGATTGCATCTGCGTGGCATGAGGGTAAAGGTTGAAAATATTTCAAAACACAGGACATGAAGTAAAACTGATACAATTTATTCAGTTTTAAATACGAGTTTCAGTGAATTATTTCCAGCTTTAATTTAGTATTTTCAACTCAGTGAACACCTTCTGTAACTGCTAGTACATTTCAATACATCTGATGTAGTTATGTTTACTTTGCCTTTTTGAACAAAGCAAATAAAAAAATAAACCATTGAGGATTTTAATATCCATTCAAGTTTTAGTTTTGTTCATAAATGGAGTCGTTGGCGCCCAAGTCCTTTTAAGGAACAGTTTTTCTTAGTTGTGATCAGTGCTCTGTTTAACGACTCTGCCTGATGTGTAAATATGAAATCTGAAGATGAGCCTTACAACTACAATGAAATGTTTTCTTTAGATCCATGGCATGTGCTTAAACCCTCAACTTTTAAGATCTATACATGCTTTAAAATCATATTTGCAAGAAACATTCCACGTCTAAATACCGTATTTACCTATTGTTAGAATGTCAAACAACAAATGTGAAACAAACATTCAGAGAACCATTTTATTAAGTAGCTTTCACAAAAGCCTATGAAGAAAGAAATGTCTACTTGACGACAAGAAAATGCCTTAAAAAGAACATCATGCTTTAAAAACAGAAGTATGAGAAACAGAAACCTAATTTGCTCACAGTTGGGTTTTTATGAGGTTCATCTTTATAGCTCCTGCAAACAACTATGCATACAGCACATAAAAAAAAAAAAATTTATTCTCTTTCCAGTGTTGATCCAAATGGCTGTTTATCACAAACATATTCATGTTTTCCATTAAAAACATGATTGGGATAAGCCTTCCTTTGCAGGCGCTTCGTTATGTGTTGACTGCTTCTGAGACCAAGAAACCAGCAGCCGCAAATCTCGCTTGTGTTCAAACCCTTTGCCGTTTTTACGTTTGGCACATCAAAACCAACAAGTTCAATTGATTTTTACCAAGATGTCAAAGTGACAAAACAACACAAAGAAGAGCATAATTGTAAAATACAAGGAAAACACATAAACATAAAAATAAAAATTAAAAAAAAGTGTGATGCGAGTGTGTTTTCTGCCTCCATTTACTCTGATACCCCTAAATAAAATCAAGCGCAACAGACAGGAGGGCTACGGTTGCTACCTTGTAGGAAAAAAAAAAACCTTAACCGTCACATTAACTGAATCCTCTAAATTGTTCTTAGACATGAGTTTCCCTTCGTTTCACAATTATGTACTACTTTGTGTTTATCTGTCAATCACAATATAATAAATAAATGTTTGGTTGCGATGTCACAAACTAAAAAAAAAAAAAAAAAAAGGCCCAGGAAGTATGAAAACATTGCAGGGAGTTAGTTGTACATGTAGCATAGGTGAAATGTTTGTAATACCAAAAGGAATCCTTCACATTTTTTGACAGTCTACAGAGAAAACTTCCACTAAATTCCCTCTAGCAACACTTAATTTGTAACAAAAGATAAAAAAAAAAAAAAAACAAAAAAAAAAAAAAAGGAGGGGCAATCACAGAA